TGTCGGTCATACGAAGTTGTTGTTTGCGAATAATTGCGTAAATTAGTGCCTGTCACGCAGCATAGGGATAAATCCTTTTACACATTTCACATCGCATCAATCTTCTTCCTAATTCCCTAGCTCAATTGTCGTGTGGCAACGCACAAATGCCCACACGTCCTAGGCTTTCGGTTCGTTTCTCATTGGTCATTTAGTAGCACACAATCTTCCGAAGGATTGCAGCTCCTTACTCTAACTGCGTGCTGTAATAAAGACGATGTGTGTCGTCGTTTAATGTTACCCATCCCTGATTGGCTTCTACAACTTGTTGTTCTTGTTCTCGCAGTGGGGTTGACCAATGACAGCAGAGCAGTGATGAATCAACTATGTGTGTAGTAGTTATGATGTTTACACTGACACACATACACATGTTATAGCAAGGATACAGTCGTACTTAGAACAGTGGCTATAAAAAGCAAGTCCTTGCAATGTGCCATGTTCAGTTCCCGTTTACATTTTCTTTTCACAATTCGATTTTAAGTTTCGCGCCAGTGTGTCTAGTCAAACAATCTGTAAGTTCGATAAAAAGAACCTTAAAAATCCAAAATTGCGGCTGTTTGAAATGTAAGAACAATTTTAAATTTTAAATTTGCATCCAGATACAAATGAGATATTTTGATATTAAAACCTCAGAGTTTATTATATAAAGTTACGACGAAGTTAAAGTACGTCTTACAGAATGGAACGAACTATATCGAAGTGCTGAACCTCACATTCGGATGTTGTTTAATAACTTGAACATTCTTATATGTGAATTTATAAATATATTGTACAATGGGCGTTGTACTAAAAATCACGATGGAGTTTTCCGTAATGTAATGTAAATGTTTACCTTTTGGTCCCACCACTTCCACGAGAGTCGAATACACATATTTTAGTTATGGGTAGTCACATGTCAAAGCCCAACATCGCCATACTTGGCTCGTACTGCTAAACCAATCGGCAGCATTATACAAAGGTGTGTGCATGAATAGTAACAAACTATTGTTTAAAAAAAAACCCGCATTACTGTTCTGGAATAAGTCCTATATTAGGTTCCCGAAGACGAACTGGTTAAATGAATTGTTGAATATTTTTTTTTTTTTTTATTGTCAGCAAGGACTGCCAAAAATATTGTGTGAAGATAGAGTAAATCAAGGCCTAATTAAAGTCGGACACTAAGGACATCTGGGTATTAAATTTGCTGTCAAATAACATTTTGAAACATATGCATACACACACATTTATATCGTCTTTGTGAAGCACGTTCGGAATATTTCAAGATTTTAAAGACTATTATCTTACAATGTAAATTATCTTACAAATTATAAATTGTGCTGTGTTTTGGGTGTGTTTTTCATTTAAAGGCGAAACTATTAGTTTTCGCTTGGGAAATCAAATTGACTTAAGTTTTCTCCGTGAATTCGCGACCTTATATAGGCCTTTCGCCTTTTAAAAAAACAAACATTTTTTAATTACTAAGATAAATTGTATTCCTTTGGGGTTGCATCCTTTTTTATGGATTCCACGCAATAAAAAGTGCTATTAAAATCACATCATGTCAAAATCGACTTTACAAAACGTTGGGTTACTTCAACATGTGTTAAAAGTCTGCTCAAATTTTTTCAAATAAATAAACAAATACTTAAGAGAAACTAAAAAGAAACCCAAATGTCTGTCGAACAGTGTTGTTGTCGCATTTCTTGCAACAATGCACAACATATGTATCTGTTTATATGGCTGTTTCCATTTTATTTTAAGCTGCATTTTTGCAGAGACTTCAGCCCACCTTTATCTGGCGTTTCGTGTTTGTGATTTTCTGATGTTGAATTTTCAATTCGAAATTAAAAGATTCCCGACACAGTCTTCGGAACGGTATGTAATGCAAAACGTCTGAATTTTACATACATGTGTACATCAATTTTCATTCATTCGGCAATGTCCAAGTAAACAACAATCCAATTGATGTTGCAATATATATTCACTTTTTAGTTTTTACCAAAGTTCTCGATTTTAGTTGAGCTTTCTGCCAAAATGTGGATACGCAGAAATATACAAACATTACTTATTTCTTTAAGAAAAGTTGGCCAAATCTTATTTGATTTATAAGGTTAACCGGTAGGACCAGCTGAAGTCTTCATTGTCTGTCAACAGCAGAATAAACAAAAAAATATACATATATTTTTTTCGAAAAAAAAATATATGTATGTACATGCACAATACTATCAAGGCCTATATAAGGTCGGACAGTAAGGGCAGCTGAGTATTGAGTTTGCTGTTAAATCATATTTGGAAAGCTATATTATGTTAGACGTCCATTATTTTTATATGAACTATATGACTTTATTTAACATGCTTCGGAATGTCCGATTTGGGCCAAATATGCATATGTTTTGTTGCCTGCTCTCCATTTGCAAAAAACTCTAGTTATCGATTTTCACAATCCTCCCTAGATACAATTTTTTTATCATTAAAGAAATTTTGCAATGCAAGAAAAAATATGATAATCGCTTAGTGCCAAGCCCGGACTGTATGGCGGGTGTATTAAAACTTCCCAACCAAGCTCCCGAAGTTTCTGGCGAGTCACTGTAGATTTTATCGACATTTTCGACGACCGTCTTACCTGTGCGACGTGCATCTTTAACATCAAAAAAATCCTGAACGAAATCTACGAATTGGCTGTTACAGCATCGGAACCATAACCACCATTCATAATTTCAGCCGTTTGGCTTGCATTTTCGCCTTTGTCAAAGAAAAACTTAAAATGTACCGAATTTTCTCTTTGTTAACTTCCATTTTTAACAACCTATATCTCTCAACTGAATGCACTGAATACTTTACGAGAAATCTATCAGTACAGCCATCTGCCGAACAAAAAATTGGATTTCATTTTCCCCAACCTAATATTTAAAAAATTTTGCGATTAAAAAGTTGACAGCAAGAGAAGACTAAGGCATGAATCGCTTCCCTGTAGGCCTTTTTATAGGCAATGTTATTGATTTATAGGCAATGGTATTGATGATACACAGAAGTGGATCTAGTTCCTGAATTAAAACAATTGAAATGATTCAGATTTGACGCCCATTTTGAATCATTTAGAATTGTAATAATCAAGCTGTACATTTATATTGTCATATTTCCCTCGTATCTGAACAATTTTATTATTTATTTAGCTTTCAGATTCGTATCACTTTAACGGTTCTACACCATTCAAGATTGCTTACGTCCTCTTTTTTAGAGGACAATCATCTATTTTAACTGACTGTCATCTATAAAATTCTGTCATCAATTTCTATATTCTGTCATCTATATTTTTAAAACCTTGATCAATATTTATTTTTGTAAAATAAAACAAATTAATATATTTTATGAATTGAATTGTTGGTATTTTTAGGGATCCTGGACAGGTTTTACAACCACACTTGGCTGTTATTTCATATTTTGGGTTCTAAGCTTCTAGGTGTCCCCAATATAAAGAAACCCACATGTTCATGTTTTTATTTTTATTTTACAGAAATTTGCCATTAAAAGTGAATGTAATTTACATATCCTTGTGGCCTATGGGTTGCAAAATACCATTGGAAACATAGTCGGCATAGGTTTACTTCTTCCCTATGTTCCTTATATATGAAGATCCCAAGATAATTCGCTTAGGACCAAAAATTTGACACGGTCGTAATTAACGACTTTTTAACTCGTTTTATGCCTTTAAAGGCAAATCAAATGTACGTTTTATACACATACTATTATTTTTATTAAAAATATACTTTTTGTCATCTATTTTCATTTTCAAATACATTTATTCAATATTCAAATATATTTAACACTCTTACACGTATGGACTGTACTATGAGGTTGGGGGACTCGTGTATTCTGCTTTTCTCTGCTAACCCCAAATGTGTTCGAAGCCCTACAAAAACAAAATTTCTTTTCTAATTGAAATTTGTTTTCAGTCAGCAAACGAAATCTATCCGAAAAGGTTCCAATTTTCTAACAACATAGGATATGAAAAGTGCCAAATTGATTCGTTAATGTTCGAATTAGTGACTCAAAATAATATCACATGATTCCTTAAATATTCTACCAATAATATAAAAAAACATACATACCATAAAAATAAATATATTTTTTTAGCCTTCAAACTGTGACAACAAGAACCCCGCTGACTTCTAACGACCCAGAAAAGCAGCTCAGTCATGGATTTTACAGAATATCGTCAACGGGGTAAGTAAAGAAAATCCTCCAGTTGGACAAATTCAAATGCCAGCGACCGTGTGTGTCCTTGATAATGCTTTTTATTATTATTATTTTTTTTTTATTTGTTTTGCACAAAGAATCTAATGTTATTATCCTTAAAATCAGTGTTTTATTACCCAATGTGTGCAACACGCCCTTCGACTGTGGTGTTGTGTATGTCATTGGTAGTAGCATAGCAATTTAGTTGAGCCACATGGGATGTCATTAATTGGCTCCGCATCCGCAACTGACGTTAAATATAATAAAGCCTATTACATAGAATCCTACAGTAAAAAAGTGACGAACAAGCTACTGTCTGGTTTTTCTGGTTTTTTCCGTAAACTGTTCATTTTGTATATCGGACACAATTCCAACCTTAAATGAAAATACGTTTTGCGAATACTTTTGTAGCGTATATCGCCGAGACTTTGACAATAGTTTAGTGGCGGTAACTGAGGACAGTGCCAAATCGTATGTAATTAATACAAACAGAGACATAGCAATTATTGCATGACCCACAACAGTACGGAGGGTATTTGAAATTCGCCATTCCGTTTGGAAATATACATCGGAGACTAAGCAACAGATCAAAATATAATATTTCTTCGGCCATAAGGTAGAACGAAAAATGAATTTTATTACTGGCAATATGTGTTCGACAATTACAATGCACAGTGGCATTTGAATCGTATCTTATTTTCTACTTACATATGTATGCGTTGAATTTCACATTCGCAGGCAAGGAAATGGTGGACTATATTGCTGATTATCTAGAAAATATAAGGGATAGACGAGTTTTTCCCGACGTTAAGCCTGGGTACATGAAAAACCTTCTACCAGATTCGGCACCGATTGAAGGCGAAGAGTGGCAGAATATATTCGACGATGTGGAGAGGGTAATAATGCCCGGCATTACCCACTGGCAGAGTCCGCACATGCACGCCTACTTTCCCGCCCTGAACTCGTTTCCATCATTGCTGGGAGATATGCTTGCAGATGCCATCAATTGCTTGGGCTTCACTTGGGCCAGTTCGCCAGCCTGCACCGAATTGGAAATAATCGTTATGAACTGGCTAGGAAAAATGATAGGACTGCCCGATGAATTTCTCAATTTGAATAGTTCCAGTCGTGGCGGAGGTGTTGTTCAGACCACAGCCAGTGAGGCCACATTGGTGTGTCTGTTGGCAGGCAGAACAAGGGCAATTCAACGCTTCCATGAAAAATGCCCCGGCTATCAGGACGCTGAAATAAATGCTCGATTGGTGGCATACTGCTCGGATCAAGCACACTCCAGCGTGGAAAAGGCTGCACTGATAGGTATAGTTTTTGCCCATCCAACGCGAACTGAATTAAAACTGGTCTATTTTTAGGACTCGTTCGAATGCGTTATATCGAGGCCGACCAGAATCTCTCTATGCAGGGACAACCGCTTCGGGATGCCATTGAAGATGATATACGCCAAGGACTGGTTCCATTTTGGGTATGTATTTTTTCACAAATGTACTAAAGCGGAACTTTCGCAATCACCGCAATTGGTTTTATCACAAGCATAAGACCGGCCATCACTTCTTAATTTATTGTCGGCTGCCAGACGACCCGATTGGCTTAAAACGCCCAGTAAACACGAAATGTATTCGTTAGTTGCCAACGGCCCAATTTGTTCATTTCTTGTTAGCAGATGGTCCCGTCTTAGATGTTTATGTCAAATTTGTTTTCGTCAATTGTAAGTGTCCCTTTGGGAATCGAAGCGATTTTTCAACTGAATAACAACGAAGCAACAAGTAAAAGCCGATTATGGATTGTGATTTTTGGGGGGAGTGGTAACATTGTAGAAGGGGGGAACATCATGTTGTGTCACAACAATTTGATATAAGCCACTTACAGCAATTTGTAAATGAGAGTTTGTGTGGGTGTTGTTCGGTATCCTTGACAGGTTTGCGCTACACTGGGCACAACTGGTGCATGTTCATTTGACAACTTGGAAGATATTGGAGCTGTGTGTCGAGAGTATAATTTATGGCTGCACGTGGATGCCGCATATGCCGGCAGTGCTTTCATTTGTCCCGAGTTTCGCACATGGCTCAAGGGCATAGAACGGGCCGACTCGATTGCTTTTAACCCATCCAAGTGGTTGATGATACACTTCGATGCCACCGCCTTGTGGTAAGACAAATTGCATCATCAAACGATGCTATAGCTTGCGTAAACCTCTCGTTTGTATCGTTGTTTAGGGTTAAGGACAGTGCAGCCGTACATCGCACGTTCAATGTGGAGCCTCTTTATTTGCAGCACGAAAACTCGGGAGTAGCTGTGGACTTCATGCACTGGCAAATACCTCTTAGCCGTCGTTTTCGCTCCTTGAAAATGTGGTTTGTCTTGAGGTCTTACGGCATCAAGGGTCTGCAACGACATATACGCGAGGGTGTCCGATTGGCGCAAAAATTTGAGGCACTGGTTGCGGCGGATCACCGTTTCGAGATTCCAGCCAAAAGACATCTGGGTAGTGTGCTTCAAATGTCGCGATATTGTGCTCCAAACATTATTAAAGATCCCACGCTTTCTTTGTCCAGGTCTTGTAGTCTTCCGCATAAAGGGTGACAACGAAATCACAGAGCGTTTGCTGAAACGTCTAAATCATCGGGGCAACATTCACTGCATTCCATCATCGCTGAAGGGAAAGTATGTTATTCGGTTCACAGTTACGTCGACGCGCACCACCGTAGATGACATCCTAAGGGACTGGACGGAGATCAAGAATGCTGCCACTGAAATTTTATGTGAAATGAACATCACTATTTCGAATAGGGTATATCTTAAAGGTAGGATTCGGCTCTATTATCGCTTATTTGCCTTCGAAGCATCTCATATGGTATCAACTTATAGACATCAAGGAGAAATCGGACGGATTCGGAAGTAGCTTGCTTCTTTCAAATTCTCCACTATCACCTAAGATTGTCAACGGTTCCTTTGCGGCAATATTTGACGATGATTTCCTCGCAAAGACTTACGCTGGCGTTCGAATTGCGGTAAGTTTCCCATGGACATAAACATATCTCTTAGTAATAGATCTTTGTGACACAGCATCAAGAATCGCCATCAATGCGTCGACGAGTACGTGGCATAATGATGTCGGGCAAACAGTTCTCCCTTGACTCGCATATGGATGTTGTGGTACAGACATCCATGGACTCGAAGACAACAAACAGTAAGGGCGTCGACAGTTATGGCAAGACCACCCCAACAGCGAGACATGTCAATGAACGGGACTCTATACGCGAAGATGAGGAGTCCCAGGAAGGTATGAAACCCAGGTATTGTAATCGCCAATTTCCACAGTAAGCTTGTTATTTTCATACAAAGAACTGGTGGGAAATTAACGAAGTCAGTCGTTATGATTCCCCAACAAGGCACTCCACATGGCTTTCTTTAATTTTACAATAACATGTTGTAACATTTAATCACTTCTGAAACTTTCTCATCGCAGATTGTGAAATGAATTGGTGGGAGGAATCAACTTCCACGCCCCAGATGCAACCTGTGCGAAGTCGACAAAACAGATTAGCAGTCGCCACCACTCATCGCCAAAGTGATTTAAGCGTAGAAGAAACTTATAGCCGACCACAACGTCCATCGACCTTAACCACGTCAGTGAATAGTGTTTGGTCCCCCGTTACCCATTACCAGCTCATATCAAACTCTCGACAACTGTCAACTATAGTCGAGAGGGAAACCCGTACATTTCCCAGTGACTCACTTTCATCGGCACCTACCGCTAACCAATTGTCTACGGCGTGCCAACTACCAGCTAATCAACTGTACCCGGGCAAACGGTTTTTGTACTCCGAGGGTAATGTTGAACAACATTGTTCCTTTACAGATTCCGTATTTTGTCCCCCAACACCAACCGATGAAAAAACATCTACCAAGTCTGCATCTGATGGTCCATGTTCCGATGCGGAGAATTCGAACGATGCAACACCAATAGCTACAGTCGACCTCTTTAAGGAACATTTCCTCTCCGTTGAGTCTTTAGAGTCGCCCAATCAGCCATCGAGCGATTCTGATGGTTCTTCTGAAGACACTTCAACCACCTCTGCCCCTGAATATTCCTCCTTGGAATCGGTTTGATGACTGCATCCATATCCACGCATTATATCTCCACTCCCATAGCTGCTGTGCTGTTAGCAATAATTCCTGTTCTAAATATAACAATAACACGACGACATACATATGTCTCGCGTTTACTCTTAAAACCCAGCCTAGTTAGTAGCTTATTCATAAGTAGTATATCGTTTTCGGCACCATTTTATTGTCGTTATTAATATACTCCACATATTCAGCGTTAAGCCATCACTTTATCTTAGCTAAGGTGATCCCAGTGATGTCACCGGATATTTTGGTCACTGCTTGAATTAGTAAAAAACTTTCAAATCAAACGTCTATATCATTGATGCTACAATTATTGAAATTATAATATACACAAATACACACACGTCATATATACACACACCTTCTAATCAGTGCTGTTATATATGATCATTATAAAAGAATTATCCATATCGGTAATTACCCTTAAAAGCAAATAGAACAGAAACACGTATTCTATAAATGTTATAATCTTATTATATAGTATACCTGCATATTTATACATACAACAGCAAAAGCCACGGAATCATGTACACTAAAACATATACAAATTTTAAGATAATAATGAATAAATGTGCGTTCTCGCAAATGCCAAGCTAGATTACATTTATAATAAGTACACCAACTCAATATTACAAATTACATATATAAATATGTACTTCATACATTTTAGTAAATGTGTCTATGTCGATGTCTATGTCTTCTTATATAAAGTTAAAGGTACATTCTTACATACATGCATTATTTTATCCAATAACAAATATATTACTTGTCTAACCTAATTTTAGTATGTCTTTATTTTTGATCTCGGGATATGTACATCCATAATTTATTGTGATAAATACATATTCGAATATCGCACATGTATTCGAATTGAGGGTTGGATTGTCATTCAGTTATTTCCTACCACAGATTCAAATTAAATCAATCATCAGTTTCAAGAGGTATACTGCAACATGGAATCCAGGTTCTTGGAGGGTGAGAAACACCTTTCCTGAAAATCTTTTAATATTTTGACGTAGCCTCCATAAAAATTGCTCACCTTCGTAGGTATTTTAATGGTCCATTCGAAATAAAGTCACGACACTTCAATTTCAAATGTTATTTTATGTATTTTAGGCGAATTTAATATTACAACAATTTGTTTTAACATTTAATGGTACAATCAACTGGGCCGATGCGACTACCTAATACACGTATCTTGGATATGATAGTCAACTCAAATTTGAAAATGTATGCAAAATTATGTCCTTTTCCTTTTTTGTTATATTTGGTTTGTTTGTTAGACTGAATCAAGGCACATATAATAGGTAGTCGCATCGGCGAATTACTACAACAAAGCAACTTTTTTGGTAACATAATATGTCAAAATTTGTAAACAAGGCAAATAAAATTCAATTCGCCTTGACATTTCAAAATTTAGTCGAATTTGATTCAACCAATCAGAGCAAAATGTTTTTATACCCTACAAATCTATGTTAAAAATATGTGTTACCTCAAGAGTTTGCAGCTGCACGACTCCTACATTTAGATTTTTGTATATCGTTTATCGTCATCTGTCCGTCTGTCCATTATAATTTGTAATATGATTATCATGACCCGAATCAAATCGGGATTGAAAAAAATTATGTTCTGAAAACACAAAATTAGCACAATTTTGAATAAACGATGCAGTATGTGCCGGCATCTTTCAACAATTTCCCATGATGAATTCTGGAAATTTGGTAGTGCCCGGAATTGGTAGTGACCGGTTTATATAGATTAATGGTATATCCAAATGAATCAAAATCCTTCATTTCTCTCTATTTTTGTAATAGCTAATATACCACCAAATTGTATATGAAAAATGTATCTTGGCAACAAATAAACATGCATACACTGAAAATGTAAGTCCAATAGTAGTTGTGTAGGGTATTATATTTGCGACGTCCGACTTTTCTGCTTGGTTTTTTTTTTTAAATTAGATGTATGAAGATGGTGGAGAAGTTCCATAAAGTGTCAAATTTCATTTCATTTGTCACAGCTTTTTCGTTTAGCCTCATTTCTTGTATCATGGACATGTTACAGCCCAAACTACAAGAAATGAGTCGTGCAGCTACAAACTCTTGAGACAACACATACTTGTAACATAGATGTGTAGGGTATAAAACATTTTGTGTTGATTGGTTGAATCATTTCAATAAATATTATGGGCTCGTGGAGTGTTAAAAACAGCCTTCAAGAAAATCTTTCCAGTTTTGATGTAGCCCTTATATAAAATTCCTGTCCATTTTTAGGTATTTTGACTCTCTCGAGTCAAATTAAAAAAAAAAAAAATATACGAAACTTCAATTGTATTTACAAAAATTAATTTATTTTTTAACGCGAATTCTAAATTACAACAATTTGTTTTGACATTTCATGTTACAAACAAATAGGTCGATGCGACTACCTAATACATCTACCTTGGACTGAATATTTTATTTTTTAAGCTATATGCTATTTAAGCTATATATACAATAAACACCACATAGAAAATTGTTATTGTATGTATCACTACCCAGTAGTTCGAGTAACTGGTTATGAACTAGTTATTTTACTAATTACCTGTACCACTGGTTACCACATCATGCCCTAGACTGGTGAATTTAACATGGGTATGTCATTGGGGAAGTCAATTGTCCCCTGCCTGCGTTACCAGTAACCAGCCATCTCGTTAGTAACAAATTATTTTACATTTTACTAGTGCTTTATAGTCAGTTACTTGGGTAGATACAAACTATAAATCAAATGCCTAGTTACTTATGTATAGAAAATTAGATGTATAACGGTTTGAAAAATTAAAATTTATTCTGTACAAATATATTTATTACAAAAGAGTATTGCATACATATAGATATATTGTTTGATCCATCTAGTTCACGATTCTTTTGTCGGCCAAGTGCTTTTCAAATATGTCTCCCTATAGGTTTATCTGAAATAGACGGCTTAGAAATAGTTGAAGTTAGAAGACATACATAATGCTCTTTTAGTTATCAAAAACATACCTATAGAAAATCGGGAGCATTTATTGATGCGTTGGGATCTCTTTGGAGCGATACCTCTTCCTGTATAGCTATTAAATGTTTACAGAAGACATGTAAATGCTCCCTTAGAAGTGTGTTCTTTTTTATGTGTTCTCCCTGGATCTGTGGGGTTTCTGAAAGGACGATATCCATATAAATCTGGAAATGAAGTCTGTACAATGATTACATTGGTCTATATTGTGCTACAATATCAAAACTTACCTCAGATTTATCATCTGCATTTCATTCGAATATTGAAATTATGTATGTATATATTTTTCCGGAAAACACAGTTCTATTCAATTTTTGCTTTTAAAATTCCCAATGTTGCTAAAAAGTCTAAACAAAATGGCAAAACAATTGTTCTGCTTTGTTTTGCTTTCATAGTCGATTCATTACCAGTAACTTCCGAGTTGGTATGATATGTCTAGACAACTTTTTCAATAGAAAAATGAATTCAACAGTCAATTTTGTGTCCCTTTTTGGGGTATAAAGTAACTAGATCACCAAGTAACTAGCTATTTAACTAAATAATAGAAGACAATTGATATTTTTTGAACAACTGGGTAGTGTCAGTTTTATATGTCGAAAAATGTAAACAACACATACGAAATATCAATAAATTCTATTTTCAAAATGCAAAAATTTCAAATTTCCAGACACATATAAAAATGCTAGAAATCGGGAATTATTTTATGAAAACAGATTTAGTGCTTCAAACTTTCTCAGTAGCCAAATGGAGTAAATTGAGTAGAGTAACTTCGGGTAATGTGGACTACGCGTCTAATGTGGACCACCCCCATATCTAAGAAAATGCTTGAAATATGTCAATGTCGCATTGATAAATATTTTCCTAATTAGTGAAAACAAACATCAAACTTGGTTTTGAACAAATAATTGCAATGTTGAAGATGTAGTTAAGCTCTGATTGTAAAAGTGTGATTTGAACATGTTTTAGCGCAATAGTCTAACGTTTTTGAAAAATAGTCGAACACTTTAACAAAAATATGCATTTATCTGTACTTTCAATGTGCGATTTTGAATTTTTATTAATTTTTGAAGCCTGTAATTATTTTTAAATAAAAATATTCAATGTCGAATAACGCGGACCACTATAAAAAGTGGGACCTTTTCATGAGGACGACTTCGAAACATGGGCGCATTTAATATGCGAGGAGGTATTCTATCCTCTGAAAACTCGATATGCGAAATTACAGCTGCTTTGGTTGGAAAATGAAGCTAGGACATTAAAAATTCCGCAAATGGAGCGGTATATTTTTGCATTCATTGTTACCCAAGAGGGCAATAAATTGAAATTTATCACAACCAATCCACAACCTACCTTTAACTTACTGATCCACATTACCCACATATACTGGTCCACATTACCCGCCAAGTTATTTTTATTCGC